AATACCCCCGGCAGTTCCTGTCTGATTGCAATAAAGTATACCAGCAGTGTATGCTTTTCGGATTTTCTAATGCATAGATGGCATAGTGACTGATCCAATTTGATCTTATTTCTGTGTTTTTTTACCTCGATATTTAATCATGCCACGTAAACATATGATGTCTATTACATATTATATTTATGACAAATGAAAATTTACTTAGGTATCTGCAATTTTAACTTCAGTACACATCAAATGCTTATATGTATTTCTTATGCAACAATGAAGTTCCGTTCGTATCCTCCAAACAGTGTCGGCCCATAAGTTTTTTCAGGGGTCAATTAACATTGCATGCAATTCAGCGATTACTACCCCTTTGCTGTTACCAGTATTTGGTGGTATAAACCTACACATGTTATATGTCATAATTGACTTGATGGTCAGTTAAACATTGAACATTTAAAATGTGTTCACCACTGCAATTTCGACTAGTCAAGTCGATAATCCTTTCGTTAATCCCTTAAACAATCATTACTAAAACAACACCAAACATCAAAGACTACCGCCAGTCGCCTTAACGCCCCATGAAACACTCATGCCGCCCCCATGCCGCTATTAGCCCATGCAGAACAATCATTTACCATCACCCACCAGTTATCTCCCCTTGCGGATATTTCCAAAATTGGAAATCTCATCTTTCCAAAATTGGAAATGTCTTGGAAACATCATCTTTCCAAGACATTTCCAAGCTTGTAACTGTGGATTTTTTTTCCAGTTTGAATTTATAACTGGTATGATGGTAAAACCACTCAGATTATCCGACAGAGGTTCCCATTTCGCATTTCTTGTGTAAATACTCAGCATTATGAATTAAGGTCTGATGTGCCAAATGTATTACATTTTATGTGATATGCTCATGGGAGTGCAGCAAGACGAATTATCAGCTGAGATACAAAACAAACATTGATCAAAGGATTAACCGATAACACGCTGGTTGATTAATTACTTTTATCTTGCTCCTCTTTATGAGGATTTGTACAACAAAAAGCCTTCTCTTGTTCCACCTCTTGGTTTAAGAATTAAACCATTCATTTCTGCTGCCGGCATTGAGCTAGAAAATATAGCTCCTTTCCGTTTTCTTTCTTCTCCTCCTTGGCAACTGGTTAGGCCTGAAGTTGACCTAACTCTGACAAAGTTTAAGAAATCTGAAAATAATGAATTACAATATAAACAAGAATATAATCAACTAAAAACTAAATATAATACATACAAATCCTTATTTACAGATGGGTCCAAGGACGGTGGCGCGGTGTCATGTGCCACTGTCATTGGATCCAGAACAATATCTTCTAGAATACCAGATAACAGCTCCATTTTTACAGCAGAAGCAAACGCCATATTAACGGCTCTTAAATATATTCAACGACATACTAAACATAGACAGTACATAATCTTTTCCGATTCTCTTTCGTGTCTTCAGGCTATTAAAAATATTTCTTGTAAACATCCACTTTTATTAGAAATTATTGAATTGTACAATCAACTTGCCACTGGCCAATGCGACATCGTCTTTTGTTGGTTACCCAGCCACGTTGGCATTTCTGGGAACACGATGGCCGATCTTGCTGCCAAGGCAGCACTCAACAAATCTGTGACACCACTTCTTATTCCTTACTCTGATTACAAAGCTTGCATTAGAACCTACATTCGTGATCTGATGCAGAAGAAGTGGGACACCCAAGTAGGTATCAATAAATTACATGAAATAAAACCCAATATCGGTTACACTTACTTGGGTTGTCAGTCCAGATTTGAAGAGGTCATCATGCGACGATGTCGTATTGGCCATACAAGGTATACTCACAAATATTTGTTAAATGGTGAAGATCCTCCGTTTTGTATCCCTTTGTGATGAGAGAGTCACAGTCAAGCATCTCCTGCTTGACTGTGTTGAATTCTCCATCATAAGGGATAAATATTTCAATGTTAAAACTGTTCAGGATCTTTTAATTCTGTTCATCTTCATTTAATTCTTGGTTTTTAAAAGAAATTGATTTCATTAATGAATTTTGATTAATATATTCTGTATATAGCTGTGTTTTTTTAATGATTGGTAGTTTGATTAGTAACTTAGATTGTTAGTGGCTGTACTCTCAAGGGGGTTGAAGTATTGTAAAATTATTGTCCCCTGAGAGGGTACGTAAGTCCCAAAACTTCGAAAAGTCAATTTAAACTTACCAGGATTTTTAAACGTAGCATATTTGTCATTTTAATTGTAGCTAACATTTCTTACAATCGCCAGCAGCTGATGGGATGGTGTAAATCCAACTAGGGTCCATGCAGGTAGCCAAGGTACTGTAAGTCCCCATGGTCCCTAGTATGGTGATCGACCTTCAGTTGTTGGCGATCTATAGCCTGTTTTTATCTTGTATTGTCCTAATAGTGCTATTAGTTTTAACCTTCCACACTAGTTTTAAATCTAATTGTGATATTCTAGTTGTTTTACTGTCCTTCGATGACAGGTTTTATAATATATACATATTCCATTACAATGTAAAATGTTCTCGTCACGATATGGCTGAAATATTGCCGATGTGACGTTAAATTGTAACTCACTCACTCACTCACTCACTTTTATCTTGCACAGCGGATTTGTCAAAAGGTAGTGTTTATGTATGTAGATTTACTAATCTATACTGATTACACCCTGTCGTAAAGTACCTGTGTAAAAACAACATCTTTCCTTTATTGTATTAACCGCCAGTAAGTTGATGGGGGAGTTCCTCTTTTGCTAGTCGGGCATGTTGTTTATTTAAAGGTCACATGCAACGTAAAACACAACTTGATTCTAATACCTTTCGGTATGGACTTCCCGAAACAAATCATCAAAAATGCAAATTCAACTTATAAAGTTGAAAAATAATGCGATGAAAAAACCCGCGCGAAATCGGAGTTCAAACGATTCCATAATTTTCCCCCAGCGCTTTCGGGAAAAGTGGTTTCAAACAGTTGGGTTGTGAAATAGGTTAGCGCAGCTTGGAAGCGGGTTGTCCGGTGAATACTCGGTGAAGGCTTTGGTGTGAGCTATATTTCTAATGTGTTGTTGATATTTCACAGGTGCGAGCATTTTATATGTTATGACAGTAGATTACCGATATAACTGTTTATATAATTTCATTTGTCTATTTCACCACACGTTCTTCTTACCGAGTCACTTTCTCAGTTTGATATTTAAAAGCAATGTGATTATTTAGCAAAAATGTCTAACTGTGATATAGATATGTCGTTGTCACAGACAAAATTCAATGTCTGTTTTATTGACACCTATGTGTCTGCCTGCCTGTCTGCTAATGACAATGTTCAATACACAACTTCGATCGCTGACCACATGCAAATTAAACTTAACACCACTCAGGCTACACACCATAAGCAAAAAGCATTGATTTATAGCCCGAGTTCGGTCTCTGTCACATTATGTAATTACACAGACAGGCAGGTGATACTTGTACACATGACATGTTATGATGTCTGTTGATTGCAAAATGTTATACACCAGAAAGGAGCATGTTTTTACAAAACCTAACATCTATATATATATATACACACACGAGACGTGAGGCATCTACACATGAACCAGCCATTACACTTGAGTGCACACCCACCCGCTCTGACTGGGTTCGGTATCCCGTCTGCTTCGTTTCTTGGGAAGTAAACCCAAGTACAAAATATTGCACTTTTGATTTGCGATTGTACGCTTATAATTTTGTTTATATCTTTTTTCATAATCAGCAATGTATATTATATGTTAATTAGAGGGTACCATTAAAGAATGCATTCTACTACAATAAACCTATTATTCCCTGGCAAGGGTTCACTTTTATGACATGTAATAAACCCTGTCCAGTTAGTCAGTGGGTCCGGTAAACTTTTATTTAATCAATGATGTAACGTAGGTCTATGTAATTTATGTTTATGCAAACCGTGACAGGTCAAAACTATTTGCGCTTCTGTGGATAATAAGTAAAACATACACTTAAAACGGTATTTTGGAAAATGCTAGCCATATCAGGGCAAATATGACAGTCAATATCAATTGTTAACACCTAGAACATCAAGGATGCAGACGAGTGAAGTTATACCAGGGATAATCTACAACGTCTTATAGTCTCCCTGGTTATACTAATATATAGAATTGGTTGATCGCATAGGAGGACGAATACACAGTCTATACACTCACGGGGATCCTTGGGAAAAGGAGAAACTGAAAGAAGTAGTGGTAAAATCCTTCCTAAATTTCCAAGCCTTGGAAACATCATGTTTCCAATTTTGGAAATTTTGGAAATATGATATTTCCAAATTGGAAATTTTGGAAATCATCATTTTTGCTTCTGATATTCCTTAGCTCTTGCTGCTCATTGCTGTTGATCCATAGTTTAGCTTGTTTGTTTTCACTGGTCCAGCTACACGTATGTCAAAGTATTGCACGAATTTTATGGACGTTTGCAGAAGTCTATCTTTTGGCTGATCAAATTGTCCTCCACAGCTGATTTGACCTGGGGTGGGGCTAAAGCTGTCTACGTATTTTGCAACAGAAAGAAATGGAGATGAGATGTTGAATGAGTTCAAGGCCACTCTTCTGTTTTTAAGTGTTGGAATTGATTGGATTGTTCACACTCGTTTTTAATGTTGAAGGGTACATGTTCTCTGAACGTTCCACGATAAATGTTATCTCCTTTGACTGCTATGGGTGTGGATATATATCTCAGCTAGATTCTATAATACACAGTCGGGAATGTTGCTAACTGCACTGGTAAGTACCATTAAGGAAAGCCCACACTGTTCCACAAAAACATTTAAACATATGATTGTATTGACTGTAAGCACATATTCATTCACATACTCAACTAGGAGACAATATACACATCAATTTATGTCATTAAAGAGCATGCATTGGGAAAGGTAATTACACTTAAGGCATTATCTCAGACATTGAGGATGTCCACCTCCAGACGCAGTCCTTCCTACATACAAAACACCAGTAGGGACATCAGAGCCAGAAGCAGGAACACCCCAAACAAGACGCGTTCTGTTCGACGGGCGTTGTGAGCAGACTTCACACACTGACGTTCAGAGCTTTTCGTCTCTACTTGTACATCTGCAGGCTGTACACCCGTCTTTGGCTGAAATAGGCAGATATTATTGAGAGTGACCATGGCTGTGATGATAGCCAGGCAGCTCTGGCAAAGAACGAGGGTCAGGTACACAGACAGTCGACACACGTCTCCAGACTTGGGGATGGAGTCGTTGACGAAGTTCATGAACACTGCATATGACACAAATATGGAGATGAGGTAGGACATCTTCTCTCCGGAGTCAGGTGGTAGGAGGAACACACAGGCGTTGAGCAGAGAGAGAAGAGTCATGGGTAAGATGATACTCACTATATAGAACATGCTCTTGCGTTTCAGAAGAAACTCAAACGATGCAAAATTGGTTACTGATGTCATTTCGACGTCTTTCACTTTGGCAAGTATATCAACCAACTCCCATTCACTGTTCTCAATGAAGAAAGACGGTAGCCTCTCGCCAAAAGACGACCTAGATACTTCTAGTGTGTACCCATTGACAGGCATGAAGAGTACGCTGCATCGCTGCTGGTCAAACGGGTACAGAGAGATGTCTATTTGACAACTGGTCTTGAAACTCTCAAATAATAGAAGCATTCCAACTCCTTCACTGTAAATGACTGGTGATTGTGCTGAAGTCGGTACAACGTTGTCGATACCATTAGGGATGACAACAGAAGGTATCCACACGTAATCTGCAGAGATGGTCACGTTTTCAATACCATCATACTCAGTTGTGTTCCAAGCCAAATTTTGGTCGATCCATTTCATGTTGACACCAGCACTAAATTTGAAAGTCTGTTCAGCTGCATTGAGATTGGAGATGGACATCGGCAATATACTAATGTTCACCTGTCTGCCCTCAGTGTGGTCAACACTGATACCAGCAGATTCTGTTTCCCCTTGGAGATATGTCTTGAGTCTTCTTATTGTTGACTGGGTTGTATTGTAATTATTGGCGTCTGATAAGATGACGAGTGACAGTAGTGTTAAAGCCGACATGAAATACATGATGTCACTGTACAGTGGTGATGCTCAGAATGGTTTGCATTGATATATGCATGTCTTGTTTCAGTTGAACTGTTTGCTTATGTTTTTCCAGTGACTCTGATTGGATCATACACAACCCATTTGCTGGAATATTCAATGCCACGCATCCATTAAACAAGGATATTACCACCAGGTACTTTGAACACATCTCATAGTTATCGGTAAGTGCTTCATAAACAGATGTTAGTTGCTCTTCCTGTGTTAATGCCTGCCTCCACCTTCTGCAAACAGAGGACTATCACTTTACACTGAATCAAGATGGAAATACAGGAAATGGTTTTCATGGCAACAATCTCACTCTACTTAAATCGGTGTCGTAGTTTACATCGCCAATAGATGCTTTGCTCAGAGGTAAAGATCAAAATGTCTTTTACCTTGCACTTCCTGAGAGTTTTTCAATCGCCCAACTGCTTCATGTATTCCGTGCCCGATCTCAGATCTACAGTTTTAGAAATTCACATTAATGCCATTTTTGCTTCTATTATTGTATATTGACTGGGATAATGTGTATTTGGCAGATAATGTATACTATTAAATGATATCCTGGGACCTATTGATTATCAGAAAGAAATATATTACATTGCAAACTGAATTACCATTAACCATTGAAGACAGCTCACAACTTATGGACAGGCATGCAGACCTGAAGGGACATTAAACATGCTATGTTTGTTTTTACTACACACATGTTGAGTGAAAAATGCATTCTTTGCCCTGGAGTTTAGTTAAATATGTTCGGTGTTATGACATACGTTTCATGGTTGTGTAATACCAGTGTAATACAAATGATAGGGATTGGAAGCCACAATTCAAGTTTTAGGTTCCAATTAGAGTCGCCAATTATGTGCGTGTTAAACGTCTGTCTTTTCCATCGAAGGTGACATATACTAATACAATGAGTTGAGTTCAGTTGGGGGTTACATAACATCGGCATTTTCCCAGCCATATAGTGAAGAGATCAAGTCTGCTTAAATAAACATTTCAAATACATAATCCAAATTAGTTTTATTTCAAAGACATATAAATTCATTTCACTGTCATTTAGAAACATAAAATGTAACAGCACTAAATTCAAAAGCACATCACCGGTTTTCTAGCTATTCGCGACGAGAACCAGTTAATATCAATTTCTAATTGAAAACCAATCGTAAAAGTATGACATCAGAGACTATTCACTAACAGAAAAAGTAACTGTGCATACACTATAGTTACATGAAATAACAGTTCTTTGAAAATTTATAAAAATAACCTTAAATAAACATGTAGAAAAAACAGTTTGTGTGAAATTTCATGTCACGTATCGCGCGTGGCACGTGCATTTTTTGCACATGGAACTGACTTTTAGCGTGCTTTTTGACATCTGAAGTTCACACACATGATATTGAAAAATTAAGAATGGTTGATTATTCTCTAGCCTCTAAATGTTGTGGAAAACACGTTACTTTCAACCTAAACTGCACTTAGGCCATGCCACCGTGTCTCCTCGCCGTGGGTATGGTGGAGTGAGTGAGTGAGTTAATATTTAACGTCACATCGGCAATGTTTCAACCTTATCGTGACGAGAACATATTTGACGTTGAAATGAAATACGTGTATGTTATAAAACCTGTCGTCAAAGGACAGTAAAAGAACTAGACTATCACAGTTAGAATTAAAACTAGCATATTAAGTTAAAACTAATAACTCTTTTTGGACAAAACATAATAGAAAAACAGGCTATAGATCTCCAACAACTGAAGGTAGATCACAATGCTAGGGTCCATGGGGACACATTACTTTTGCGGTTATGCTTGAGACTGGAATGGACCAAAATGAAGTGATCAGGCATTTTGTTATTCATCGAAACACGATCTCATCTCTTTGGAGACATTTACAACATAATAGGAACACGAGAGATTTGCCTCGGACCGGCCGTCCACGTGTGACGGTATCACATCTCATTGTCGGACACAACTTGCCATTGTCAGTGGCAATCTGGCAGGTCTGCGATACAGGGATGAGATCATTGGGCCTCATATGCAGCCATTCCTTCAAGGACAGAGACGTAACATCACGCTTTAGCAAGATAATGCCCGTCCACATGTCGCTCATGTTGTGACAGATTTCCTGAGACAGCAGAACATTCCGGTACTCCCATGACCAGCTGTTTCTCCGGACCTGGCCCGTATCGAACACGCTTGGGATGAAATGGAGAGACCTTTACGTCAAGCCCAGAATCAGATCAGACATTGACGTTAGCTGACTTGGGACAAGCGTTGGTTCAGACATTGAACAAAATTGCCCAAGCTTTCTTCAATCGCTTAATGTCGTGTATTTGACACTACATCTCTTTAAGGTGCCTATAGTCAAACCATACAGATTTCAATATTATCCTGTCAACAGCTAAACAGTGATTAAGGAAAACTCCACAAATCATGTTATTACCTTTTTGCATTAGAGATGACTTAATATAAAAAAATGCACAGTTACTTTATTCCAGTAGCATATATAAAATGCCCCAAAAATGACAATTTGGCTAAAGTTATATCTTGTCATAAATATAGCTTATCACGCGAGTGTGTTTTGGGACGGTTAATATCCTGCATTAGAATAAACTACATAGTGTGATAACGTATTTATCATACAACGTCATTCTTACTTTATGATTTAAGAAAAATGCGATTTCAATTGCCACAAATCATGAAACTAAACTCCGTTAAATGTACACAGATATCTATGACGTCACAAATAAGTGCGTAGTAATACGTTACGTCACAAGCTCGGTGTCACAATTTTCTACTCATCACTTAATTGACTGTGTTAGGTCATCTTGTTCCCAGTAGCTTTTATGTAAAAGCACGTTTTGTTGTCAACAAATCTTATCTTATGGTTAAAAAATAACAACAAACTGGGATTTTTTAAGAGTTTATTTAGGATTATTTTTATAACTTTTCAAATTACTTTTACTTTATGCAACTGTATGCTATGCACAGTTACTTTTTTCCGTTAGCATATAGTCTTCGAATTTCAAGATAGTCTCTTATTATTTGTTAAAGAGTGATGTACTCCCGTTTTGCCCGCAGTTAATCCGACCATAGTTAATATCGGAATACAATTAACCCCTAATTAGTGAGTTCATGGCTGGCTGGGTATTGCCAGTTTTGAGCGTGGTGACCCATGTACAGTGTTCAAAACTTTCATCTGATGAAAACAAGAGGCTGATAAACAACGTGATAGCCTCAGAGGACGCATCAGAGATACAGCAGTGTGACGTAAACAGTGCTTATGAACGGTTCACTAGGTGTGTTGTCAATGCATAGCGAGCTACCCACAAGACACGTGAAGTACGACTCCTGGAACAACAAACGACGGCGACGCTGCAAGCAGTGGTGAAACCCACATCTGGACCAGCTCTGGAAGGACATGTGTCAAGAGGAGAAGCAATGGGTGAAGTTCCGTTGTGCAAACAAGCATGTGTTTAAAGCCGTTTACGTCCTGACACGGAAAACGTTCGACAGACAAGTACAGAAATCTAAATAAATTCGCAGTCACTTATCCAGAACCTTAGTAATCTCTGTATATCCAACAAACAAGATTTTTGGAAGCAAATTGGAAAAGCTGGTGTCGGATGGGAACGAAAGAAGTCTACACCCATGGATGTGAAGTTGGTGGACGGATGTGTGAGCTCAGACCACCATGCTGTACTGGAAACCTGGAAGGACGCATACTCCAACTTATTTAACCCTACGTCAAACATGGATGATGGTTAATGAGTATATTGATGATGTCACGCTGAATGGAGACATAACCATCCAGGAGATAGCCACAGCAATACAACCATCCAAGAATGGAAATGCACCAGGAATAGATCATATGCTTAAAAATGAAAGTGTTCTTGTATTTTTGCATAAACTCTTTAACCTCTGTTTTAACTCAGGTGTAGTTCCTGATAGCTAGCGCAAAGGAATTATATATCCAATTCCCAAGTCGTCGATCAGTGACCCTAGAGACCCCTTGTCATATAGGGGAATCACCCGAGAGTGTGCTTCATCCAAGTTGTACAGTGGTGTATTGACCTCTAGACTTACTAAGTTCAGTGATGATCATGGACTCATAAGTGACCTACAAAACGGCTTCAGACAGGGTAGATCGACAACTGAGCACATATCAAGTGTGACATGCTTTTATTGACTTCAGAAATGCCTATGACTGTATAAACCTTAATGTTCTATGAAACGAAACAAACTTCTGGATTTAGAAATTAAAGGGAAAATGTTGGACGTCATCTACTCCTTGTGCAGAAATGTTCAGTGCTCTGTTCGTTTACATGGATCTTACACCCCCTGGTTCGATGTCAAAAGCGGGCTGAAGCAAGGCTGTCTACTTTCACCTCTACTGTTCAACCTGTTCATAAACGACCTTATATGCTCTATTCTTGCTGTTGACCTTGGAGTTTTAATCGACGAATCTCTCGTTGGAATCCTGGCATACGCTGATGACATCATTCTTTTAGCGGAATCTGAAAATGATCTTAATCCAATGTACATGTTGGACTGTCTGTACACTTGGTGCCAAGCAGACAAGATGGTTATAAACAATAATAAGTCAAAGGTGATACACTTTCGAAACCGATATAACTATCTCGGACTGTTAATGACAGAATTCCTGGACTTCAATAGAATGGCACAATCAGCAGCAAGTTCAGCTTGTCGAGCCCTTGGTCTACTCACTTCAAAGTACAAGCTCCTGGGTGGGATGCAATACAAGACTTTTTCAACGCTATTTGATGCTATGGTGTGGTCAGTCCAAGAATATGGAGCTAGCATTTGGGGAACGAGTAACTACTCGCCGTGGAAAATCGAATTAGACGTTTCTTCTTAAGCTTAGGACTGCGAAAATATGTCCCAAATGGGAGAGTGGTGGGCGAGCTGTCTAAGGTGCCAGGCTAGTGAGCATGAGGTGCTGGGATCGAGCCCACCTGT